ATTCTTTTAAATTATAGCATCTATGTAGGCTTCCCCAGTGGCTCAGATGGTAAAGAATCCACTTGCAATGAGGGAGACCAGGGTTCCATCCCAGGGTTGGGAAGATCCCCTGGAGGAGGAAATGGCAACCCACTCCAGTATTCTTGTCTGGAGAATCCCGTGGACAGAGAAGCCTGAGGGCTTCAGTCCATGGGGTTATACAAGGAGTGGGACACAACTGAGTGACTAAGCATACATGATCCTGAGGATTTGTTGTCCATGTGCTCCATGACAAGTTGATTCTTTGAGAGGGTGTCATGACTACCTAAATAATAAAAAGGTGGCTTTGCTATGCCAGTCATTGTTCTAAGCACTTGACATATATTAATTCACATCATCCTCATAATCCCATGGTTTGTGCTATTATCCCCATTTTACAGTTTCTTTTTTTAAGCACAGAGAAGTAAGTTGTCCAGAGTCACACAGCTAGTAAGTGGAGGAGCTGGGACCCACACCCTGTATTCTGGTCCAAACTCTAAGGTCTTAATGCTATTTGATGTCGCCTCTCCTGTTAACTAGCCAGCATGTGACAACTGCTTTAAAAGTGTTGCAGTGTGAGTGTTCTGGTACTTCTGGGAAAGCAGTTTTACTTCCAGATGGTGTGACATTGCACCCTTGCTTTGTGGAGCTTGGAAGTTGAAGGAAGCCCTGAAGTTTTGAGGTGGTTCTCCTCTGTGGAGTGGTCTCATGGAGTGCAGGGTATCGGGGGCAGAGGGCATGGCAAGTGCAGAGGTTCAAAGAATGCCAGGTCAGCATTGATTTGTCCGTGTCCTACAGAGACAGAGGTGCTGGGTGGGTGTCTACTGGGTGACTCCATGTACACCGCCTCTGTGTTTACAGCAGGGTTTTAGCAGCATTGTAATTAAGCCAGGGGTCGGGGGTGGGGGGACTGTCTGACTGTTAGAGCCTCTAACAGTGGTTGGCAAACTCTGTTTATAAAAGGTCAGATTGTAAGTATCTTAGTTTTAGAGCAAGGGGACAAGTGATAAGAGGTGATGTCTGAGCGGTGTGGAGAGACCTGACTGGAAAGACCTTGTAGGCCAGCATAGGAGTTTTGGATTTTATTTTGTTCTTGACTGAGAAGGGATTCCAGGTGATAACTGAAGCCTGACTGCACCATGTACTAACTATGAGACCTGGGTAAATTATTAAAAGTTCTTTGCCTCAGTTTTCTCTTAAGGAAAATGGGGATGATAATAGAGCCTGTCCTGTGGGGTTGTCAGGAATACTAAATGAATTAACACACATCAAGTGCTTAGAACATTGCCTGGCACAGAATAAGCAGTAAAATCTGTTAGATGGTATTATCTGTACCTTGTGGCATGGTCCAAATGTTCTATAGTGAAACTGTATTTAATGAAAAATTATATATTCAAATCTATAAAACAAAGTTGTTGAAATACTCCCTAGAGCTGGGGTCCCCAATCCCTGGGCTACAGACTGGTGCTGGTCTGTGGCCTGTGGCATGGCTACATGGAGGTGGTGAGCAGCAGGCTAGGGAGAAGGCTTCATCTGTATTTACAGTTGCTCCCATCACTTACATCCTCCTACCCCAATCCATGGAAAATGTGTCTCCCACAAAACCCCTCCCTGCTGCCAAAAAGGTTGGGGACTGCTGTCCTAGAGTGGAAACTTTAACTCACTATTCTCATTCTTTGTGCATTTGAGCAGATCCTGCTCTGCAGTGTCTTTTTTAAGAGCAAGACTTGAGGAGTGATTTTTGAATATCTGTGACTTGGAACTAGGTAAATAAATCATAGCCTATTTGCAAGATGGGGAATTGAGACATTGTTGAAGTGACTATGGTATATCTAAAGGTACTGATTTAGAAAGACATCTTTTACTTTTGTCTCTTTTTGAACTCGTACATTGTATTCTTTTCTGCATCTGGGTTTTACTCATCATGGCGTTGTGAGATTTCTGAGATTTATCCTTGTTGTGTGTATCAATAGTTGGTTTATTCTCACTGCTGTGAGAGTTGGTTTATTCTCAGTGCCGTGTAGTCTTCCTTTGTATGAAACCCCAGTTCAAGTATTCATGACTTGTATTAGTTGTATAATCAGAAAAAATAGTCTAAAAAAAGTAAAATTTGGTTGAAGTTACAGCTCAAACTGAAGGTATCTAATAACCTGAATTTATTTTACATTAGTAGACTGCATTTATCTAACTTGAGGGGGTTTCCCAGGTGGCTCAGTGATAAAGAATGTGCCTGCCAAGTAGAAGACACAGGTTTGATCCCCGGGTCAGGAAGATCCCCTGGAGAAAGAAATGGCAACCCACTCCAGTATTCTTGCCCTGGCAGGCTCCTCTGTCCATGGGATCGCAAAAAAGTAGGATGTGACTTAGCAACTAAACAAAAACAGTCTAACTGGGGAGTTACTTTTCCCTTCATTCTGCCTCTCATTACTGCTCAGGATCGATAAAAGGGCATTAGCTCTCTTATGAACACCCCTCCCAGTGTTCAAATCTGCTACAAAATATGATATGATAGCATTATACTCAATATCCTTTTCTGATTGCTAAGAAGAATGACTCAACCATAACTGAGCCTATATAATTCTAGAAGAGATGTTGACCTATTTTTCACATGCAGTTATTTAGGTTTTATACAAAATTTAACTACGGAAGCAATCATAATCTTAGCGCTGAAATTACCTTAGATGTAATTTTGCCCACTTTTCACCTGGCAGGGGAGGATCTGATGTCTTTAGTGGTCTGCCCAGGCCACACCTTGGTGGAGGCCCAAGCTGGACTCTCCTGACTTAAATTTGGAGGCCTGCAGCCTCCCTGAGTAAAAAGCCTCTGAACTCCTTGACAAAAACACTTAGAACTCATACTATGTTGTTCATTTGTTTCCAGCACTTACTCTGTAGCCTTTAGGTTGTAAAGCATTCACTTTACAATTTGGAATTGTGTTTGATCTGGATTCTTATTCCTACATGTGAACAGTAAAGCCCTTCAATTTTTAAGTTTATCCTAAATCACAAATGAAAGAATTCTCATTTTGTTGCTCTCTAAAATTCAACCAGGACTCCAATTCAACTTGAGTTGGCATTCTGAGAATATACCTATGTTAAGTTTACTAAGGCAATAAGTGTGTGAAGTAACTTTTTTATGCATTGCTTTTCAGGAGTAAGCTTTACCAGTCCTAGACGTTCAAGCATTTTCAGAAATAAATCCTCCAGCAAGTTTAAAAATAATTAGGAAGTGGAGTTGCTCTGGTTGCACAAAAAAGATGTCAAGTGGATCTAGTGAAGTTGATGAGGTTTGTATTTCAAGTTGAAAATCTGCTTTTGTTAATTTTATTATGTTCTGTTTCTTTTCCAACTTGAGTTTAATTTCATACACTAAAGTGCAGAGATTGTAAATGTACAGTTCATGAGTTCCAGACAGTGATGTTTAAAGTATTTAAATGATGAGCATATGTGTACAAGTTTTAAAATTTTAACTATCTACCAAGATTCATTTTTTCTGACTCTTTTCACATAATTATATGAAAGCATTTTGAAAAGTATAAGGCCCTGTATACAAAGGTAACATGGGGTCTGTCTGTCTGTCTATCTATCTGTCTGTCTATCTATCTATCTATCCAGTTAAGTACTAATCTATAACCCAACCCCACATTATCTCGTTTATGGCTTTTGAAACAGACATATGTACTTTTAAATGGTTAAAATTATTCCTGTAGCTCATAATCCATTCTTAGAATATACTCTTAGAACATCATGGTTGTTTACTTATCTATTTACTTATGTATGCCCTATCTCCTTCTCCCCAAAATGTTTTAGGTGATTTAGAGATTAACTTCTCAAGAAGAATAGGTGTGGGGAATTCCCTGGCAGTCCAGTGGTTAGGACTCTTGAGATCTCACTCATAGCTGAGAGTCCACATTCAATCTCTGGTCTGGGAACTAAGATCCCGCAAGCCTCGCAGTGCAGGGGAAGAAAATAATAAGAAATATATGCTCAAGTGTTTCCTGGTTTGTCCACAGAGTGGCACTGTTAGATTATTTTAAAAAATCAAAAGTCACAAAGAGGATTCTTTGTAGTTGCTTTTAGAAAACTTACTTATTTTATAGCAGTTCTGGTGCCAAATTACTAGAAGACTAGACTTTCTACCTTAAAGTACACAGGAGGAAAATGATGTCTTATGTGTGGTTGTGATAATGTGAAGTTTTGAAAGTGCATCTTTTCCTGTAGTCATAGTATTGAAAATAGACAAAGGTCCTTTGATATCACCAGTTGACTTTTGGAGCCTCTTGGAAGTGAAGTAAGTCTTCAATTTTTCTTAAAGTTCTATCATCATTCCTTTTAATTTGTTAATAAATCTTCCTTAGATAAGAACATGAATCCCTGCTTATGATAATGATAACATTGTTCTTTATGCATATGAACCAAATACTGCATATTTCAGTAATGTAAGTAATGTTAATTGCCATTTGCCAAATATATTAACATTTAACCACTTTAAAGGAAAAGATTTCAATTCTTCATAAACTATAGATTTCCTCTACACTCACTCAAAAAATACTAGTCTCTCTCAAATTTGTCCACTTCCTTTCATTAAACAGTGAGCAAAATCATTTCACTTCCTTTTTTCCTTGTAGGAAAGTCAGAGCAGTTTTTACTTATTTTTCAGTGTAAAACTCTAAACCTAAGTCCCTGCGACATTATGAATTCTTTCCTTACTCCCTCTCTTAATCAGCAGTATTTTCATTCTCATATTAACGTGGTTTTTTTTTGTCTCTGGTTTAGATTAAGACCTCTGAAACTCTTTGAAAAGTTGGTTTAAAATAATAAGTTAATATTATTCTTTCCTCTCATTGTTCAGTCTGAATTTCACAGAATTATTAATTGTTCAATTTTTAAACTATTAGCAGGAAACTGCTGCATCTGACACATCTTACAATGAAGAACAACAAGGAGCAATTCAGGAGATCCTTATTCATTGCCAGGTACAAAAAGTTCTGTCTCAAATGCAGTTTTCTAAAATACTAAAATTCTCTTTATCTCATATACAGTATATAATTGAAATTATGCTGTTTTGAATTATTTATGATTATCACTCTCATTATGCTCTTTTAACAGTTTTCTTCTGTGAAAGTTTCAAAATAGCAGTGTGTAGGTTTTATAGCCTTTTGTAAAAACCCTTAATTGATCAAGTGTAGTTATAGCTCTTTCATCTAAACTGTTCGATACTGAATTAATTTCCCCTACAAATTCTTTAAAGGAAGTTGGCTGATATAGATAAAATTTAGTATGTACCTAAATGTATGTCAGGATATTTCAGTTGAAATGAAATGACAGCCCACTGTTTATTAATGAGTTTATCTTACATAGTTTTGAGGGGATTTTTTTTAAAAAATTGACATGTTGGTGGAGACTGGTAGAGGTAGCTAACTATCAAGGATTTTGTGAGCTGCATACCCTAGCAATAATGAACATTTATAAGAAGTAAATGTTTCTTAACATATAAAATTTCTGTGATACAATGAACTAACATACTTTGAAAAGTAAGAAGTGTCTGTGAGAGTCTTTATCATGCCTTTATCATGAGAACAGTGGAACACTTAAAGGGGACTTGTGGTGTCTTCTGGGAAAGGATGTACAGAGAGCGGGAACGTGAGGGCCAGGTAAGGAGTTCTGATTTTGAGCCGCAGCAACTCAGCCTGCTTTACATCAGCATCCACAAGGTTGATGAATGAGGTTGACGCGGCTCTGCCAGGACCTTCTGAACGATTGTGTAAGATGTGGTGGGATGGAGCATCTCCCATAAGACACGCCCAGGTTTCAGAGTCACAGCCCTGCAGTGGGCCCTGGGGGATCCTCTCCATTTCTCCTCTTGTGCTGGCTCCCTCCTGTCTTCGGCACCTTTCCTTCCCAGTCTAGGCCACATGGGGCAGCACTTCCACCTGTTCTTTTTTATCCTTCCCAGCGTCCCCTTTAGTAAAACCCCAGCCCTGTCTAGCCAGGCTGGGAAGCAGAGGGGAGGACCTCTGCTGGGGACTGGTGACCCTCAGACAACCTCAATCCTTCTTGGATATTTCATGGAGAAAATGGGGAAGCGTGGAGCAGAAATCCCCCCCAAGTCCCAATTCTTCTCACAGCCCACAAACCTGCCTAGTTCCATCTCTGTCAACCTCCTTCCTGACCGCTGGAGTGGGAAAAGGGTTCCCCCTGTAAGGCTAACACTAACACCTCCTCTAGTTTCTGCATCTGATCCTCTTTCCCTGTGTTCAGACACCTCCGTTCTTCCATCACCCCCCTCTCTCCCGGATCTTCAGCCTCTGTCTCTCTCAGCATACTCATTCTCCCATTTTTATTTATTAAAATCACTTCTTTTGGCCTCCTATCCCTCTCTCCTTCCCTTCATAACCCAGCACTTTGAATGTCATTTATGTTCACTCTGTAAACATTTGACTTCCTGTTTGGGTATTTGGGGGGTTTGTTTTTTATTGAAGTAGAGCTGATTTATAATATTGTGTTAGTTCCAGGTGTAGAGCATAAATTTGGGGTGTAATTCCCTGTGCTCTACAGTAAATCCTTATTTCTTATCTATTTTATGTATAGTAGTTAATATCAGTTAATGTCATGCTCCTAATTTGTTGGGTATTTTTTAATATACTCTTCCTTCTGCCCTGTATACTCTTGCATGCATTTCTACCTGGTGGACACTTTCTCATCTTTTCACTCTTAACACAGATAACACCCACGACTGCCCACCTAGATTAGGTCTTGCCCTTCTGTGCACACTTAGCTTCTTATTCTTATCTGTATTATGGCCATAATATTAATAACGCTTGAACACTACTGGACTAGCCATTGTGCAGTATTATTATTATGTTAGTAGTGATACTATAGCACATTGCTTTGTCCTTAAGAGAACTAAGAGATATTTTCATCCTGATTCTATTAATAAGGAAATTGAATAGCAGAGAAGTAACTTGAACCCCACTGTGTTCCCCTCAAGCCTGTGCTGAGAGCCAGCAGGTCTCACACTTGATCAGGTCAGAATCACCTAGAGGGCTTGTGAAAACAGGTCGCTGCTCTCGCTCTCAGACTTCCCAATTCAGTAGATCTGGGGTGGGAGATGAAGCATTTCCAACAAGCTAGTAGATGGTGCTGTTGCCTCTGGCACTGAAATCAATTGCCCCTCGCTGCTAATCACTCTATTTACCTTGTCTCTTTACTTGTCTCTCTCCAGCTAAAATGGGAGTTCCTTAGGGCAGGAGCTGGTTCTGTTCTTTTTTTTTTTTTTTTTTAATGTCCACATTCCCAGCATCTAGCAAAGCAGCCTGGCAGGTGGTAAGCTCTCAATAAATGTTTAGTTGAATGAATGATGTAATGGTTCTGGCCTTTTTATTTAAGTGTATTTTTGCCCAAATGAAATTTCTATGTATTTCAAGAATTCTCAGGTTTTATCAATCACATACCCGATTGGCATACAGGGGCTGTGTACTCAAACGTTTTATAAAGTTAATTGTTAATTGCATGACTTTAATCTGGGGACTTCCCTGGGGGTTCAGTGGTTGATTCTACACTTCCAGTGCAGGGTTCAATCCCTGGCCAGGGAACTAGGATCTCACATGCCACATGGCCAAAAATAAATAAATAAAATATGCTGATGCCAAAGGTCACATCTGTTGTATTTGGTTCACTGTTCCTTCCAGAGTGGACCCTTCACTGCCTATTAGTTTATACCATCATTATGGGAAGAGGCTCTTTTGCCTTTTAGCATATTTTAAAATTTCTTTCCTAAACTATCACCTTCCTTGATGTAAAATGACTCCAGCATAAATGTGATGGCTTATAGGAATTGTGGAACATTTACTTTCCAGTATTCAAGCTTCTTCAGATGCCTGTATGATATGCAGTAGTTGAGTAGGAGGTTGGGGCGCTTTAATCTCAGCCATCTCGGCCTTGGGTCACCAACAACCATGCATTAAATGGGAAATAAGAAATTTCTGATGGCTTGAGAATTTTCTTTGTTTCTGGCAGTCAAAGCTTGGCTTAATGGTATTTTTTATGTTACTTTTCTTTTGAAGTAGAAATTAGTAACAGTTTGTACTATAATAGGCCATCTATGATGCTATTCAAGACCTGGATAAGAAGTTTGATGTTATTCATGGAAAGGTTTCAAAAATTCACCGTTACCGTTGCTGTATGAAGTCAATGTGGCAAAGCCGTGTAAGTGTTACAAAAATATTTTCACAGCTATAATAAATAAACCTCTGGGCTCTAAAGATGTCAATTAGAAGTGAGAGAGAACTAATAACTCTTAAAGAGGAATAAGGCTGATCTGTACTTGCTATAGCAGCAGATGGGAGACTAAACCTCTGCTGGAAAAATGCTGATGTTTAGGTTTGAGATATGTATGACAATGGGTATTTTTACATTTGTAACCATAATATATAAAATGTGATTCAAATGTAGGGGTGAAGAGAAATAGAGCACTTATCTTTAATAATATAAAGCAATCTTCCATAGAAAGTAACTATCAATGTATTTACTATATATGCCTTTTTTCTTTTACTCACAGTTAATTTGTGCTGGGTTTGTGTCATTTCAGAAACTACATGGACATAGATATAAAAATTATAATTACCAGCATTCTAGAAAGAGCAGAAGCCTGAAAAGGAAGAGAAGGGACCTTACCTCTTCATTATCTCTCACTGAAAGTTATAGCCCCACTATACCAGTAAGCAGGCAGGATAATGATTCCCAGAGCAACACTTTGGAAATACCTATCGAGTCCCAGAAGTCCCCAGAGCGGGAGCAGGAGTCATTCATCCAGGATCAGGAGCCAGATCGCAACGAGAGCCCAGGGATCCCTGCCATCTTCACACAACCCTATGAGCCATACGAATACATGCAGGAGGAATCCATGCAGGTTCCTTCTTACTACGACAGCCCACAGGCCCACAGCACCACCAATTTCTTCCCACCGAACCAGGCCACTGTAATTCCAACTGCAACCATACTGACCCAGATGGAACCTGAACCAATACCTGGCCCTGATGTTGTGACCTATCCACCTTTATTTGATCCCCAGCCCTCCAGGCCTAATATCTCACCTCCCTGCACGTCAGACGCTTATGGTGAGTATGAACTGACACCTGTTACAGGTAGCATTATTTACCCTATAATCCTCAGCACTTGGATGCAAGTTTGTGGAAGCTGTTTGTTTCTCATCTTGAGTACTAGTTTGGGGTGATACTCTTAACGCTGACTAACACTTCTTGAGTGTCTCTAATGTGCCCACACTATGCCAGTCAACTGACACTGCCTCTACACTAATACTCATAATGATCACACTGTGAGCTTTTTCATCTTGTTTTTCTTTACCCTTTCCCTGTGTAAACAATCACATGTTCCTAAAATGGCTAGAGCCCAGATGACAGAAAAGGAAAGGCACACTTTAGGTTAATTCACACAGATGTCAAGCTTGTGTTGGAATCTTTGGTTAGAGAAATAAATCTTCCTAGCAAATTACAAAACCCACTTCCATTACAACACACTAACTTTAAGAAGTCGATCGAGCACTCTGGTTGAATAACTGAGTACTTGTCTGGACACAAAGAAATTTGAGTACAACTTAGTTTATGGCATGGGCTTCCCTGGTGGCACAGGCAATAAAGAGTCTGCCTGCAATGCAGGAGACCGGGGTTGCATCCCTGGGTCGGGAAGCTCCCCTGGAGAAGAGAATGGCAATCCACTCCAGTATTCTTGCCTGGAGAACCCCATGGAGCCTGGTGGGTCACAGTCTGTGAGGTCACAAAGAGTTGGACATGACTGAGCAACTAACACACTCTATTTTATAGCATAGCTAAAACTTCTTGAGGTATGAGCACTTACATTATTTCATGTCTCAGTTAGTTACTTTTAAAATATAAACCTCCAGCCAAATATCTATTACCATGCAGTGAAACTTGAAAGAGATTATTCAGTGTAATGTTAAAGTTACTTTTGACCTAGCTAAGCACAAAATAATCTTGTTTTCTGCAAAATTCAGATAAGCATTTAAGCCTTGAGAGACGGGAATTTTAAAGCCATGGTAGAGGGTTGGTAAGAGAACTCATGTGGTTCTCAAAGATAATGGAAGTTATTGAAATTCATTAATTAAAATGAATAAATTTAAGCAACTTTAGAACTATAAATTCTGGAAATTTCCCACTGAAATTAGCTAGTAAAATAAACCTCATCTGGAGAGACCAAGAGGACAGAAATTGAGAGAAATTCATTAAAATTCTTGAAGAGAGCAGTAGCTTGGTTTAGATTAACTTAATTCAACCTAAGTTACAGGTCTTTTTGCTATATTTGCCTGTGGCCAAAGAGGCCTTGGGTTGCTCAGTCTGTTTTATGATCTTTGAAACTCTAAGTTACCTTCTGAAGTTGCTTTTGTTGTTTGGGGGAGGTCATGTGAGACAGCAACCCACTCTGGTACTCTTGCCTGGAGAATCCCATGGATGGAGGAGCGTGGTAGGCTCTAGTCCATGGGGTCGCAAAGAGTCGGACACAACTAAGCAACTTCACTTACTCACTCACATGGGACATTCTTGGGTAGCTAGCCTAAGATCATCTTTAGTCTTTCATTACATTTTACCTTGAAGTTCTGGGTCCATGCTGGGGTACTTCACAGAATGTTCCAGGAATGATACAATTACTCCCTACTTAACATCTCTTCTTTCAAGATAATATCAGGTCAAGTATTATTTGTCTTTTTCTCCTCTTTGAAGCTCCAACTTCACCAGTTAGAAATCGCCCGGATTTCTTCAGAGATAACTTCCCTGAGGACCCCTCAACCTGGTCCGTGGATGAAGTGATCACGTTTCTGCAAGATGTAGATCCTCTGACACTCGATCCCCTGGTTGACCTCTTCAGGGAACATGTAATGTATCTTTTGATCTGGTTTTTCTGCCTTAATGACTTTGAATTATCTCTTTGCAGACCCTTCAGTTGGTTACTGTTTAGTATAGATGGTGGGGGAACCCTATCAACTGATTTTTCCATATTTGAGAGAGTTCACTTTGCCGAAAGTCAGATCCTTAAAGGGTAGAGGGTGGATTTGTGCTTAAATGGTTACCCAAGTACCTAACATACTACACGTCTTCAAGTTCTCAAGAGAAGATGATTCAGCATGGCCACTCTCAGATGTCTTCCCCTTTGTAAGACCAGCTACAAAGATCCTCCTCCCCACCTGCTCACTGCTTGGCCCTGGGATTGTGAGTAGGAGGGAGTGACCACTGTTGTAATACATTGTCCTCCTTGTTATGATTCCCAATGAACCCAGTAACTGATTCCATTTGGCTCTGTTCTGTTGACCTTACATGATTACTGACGATTTGGGATGCTGATACTCTCATGCCATTTACAAAGTAACATCATGGGCTAAATTTTTTAAGTTCTAATTTCTTTAGAAATTATAGAAATAAATTAGAAATTAATTTCTTTAATTTCTACTTTTACTTACTAGAAAATGTATAGAAGGTACCTGACAAAAGCAGTACTGTGAAGGACTTCAGGTCCCTTCAGCCAGTGATAAATGATTCAGCAGTTTTATTTTTAAACTAGATCTCATAAAAACCAAATAATATGCTTCAGCAGCATCACTTGGCCAATTAATTCTTTTTTACACTAGGAGGATGACTTGTGACTATCAAGTAATATTTTTGTAGTTTCCTACTGAATAAAATTAGTGCCCACATATCTGATGTACCATTTTCAATATGGTAAGAAAATCAGTCATTAGTTTTTAGCATCTAATTAGCTTCAGACAACTAACTGATTACCTTCCAATGTTAAGACAGCACTGTATAGCACACTAATAGCTGAGATACTCATGTTCCAGCCCTTCTAAGAAAGTCAATGACCATCTGAAATTCATTTTTATGATTCATTAAGTTTTTACTCCTTTTGTCATAGTTATGCAGTATTTTGTTTAACACAAGGTATTTAAAATTAGGTAGCTTGACGCTTAGGACATTTTTAAGATATTAAATTAAATTTCCTTTTGCTTAAAATTTGAAGCAAATTTACAAGTGATTAAGTGATGCTTCACTGTACAAATTAGATTTTTGATAGTTTCCATCAGTCAGTTGCAGATTCAGAGAATATAGAGCTGGAATGAGCTGCTCTCTAATTGTGTTACATGTTCTTATATAGAAAGGAGAAACTATTCTGATTCAATATGAATGCTTTATTAATTATTTTAATTTCCTTTGCTCTGTAGGGCATTGATGGGAAAGCTCTGCTACTGCTCAAGAGTGACATGCTGATAAAGTACATGGGGCTTAAGGTGGGGGCAGCCTTGAAGGTGTGCCACTACGTGGAAGGACTTAAAGAAGGAAGATACATCTACAATTTATAAACCACGTATAGGTTAGACTGGACTTAATTCTGGGAAGACTAGTGCTGTCTTTGCTCTGCCGTTAGAAGTTTTTGTTGCATAGAAGGTTCCTTTAAGATATGGTGTATCCAAAATAGCAGAACCGAGGACAGTCCAGTCTATTTCTTTAGAAGTCGTTTAATATATTAGTGCTAGCATAGTCAAACTGGTTGTTTGTTCTTATCTTTTCATTATTTTCATTGTATAGTTTACAGATATACTTCATGCAGGAAACAGAAATACCTTTTGATTTTGGTTAATGTTTATATGTAAAACCAAAACAGTCAAATCCCAAAGGGCAAAATATCAGGCACTGACAAGCTTTCTAAAGAAATCCATATGACATTTTCCTTAGAAGAAAATTTAAAGTTGCAACTGTAGGTATCCTGTTTTTCTCAAATATTTTATGTCTGTTACTGCAATGTTCTGTTTGTATTCTACGGGTTTCCCAAAAGGGAATAGCCACATATATTATTCTCTTTTATGTTATTATTTCACTGTATGTTTTATCTGTCCCTACTAGAAGGAAAAAAACAGCCTTTTAAGATTTCATGAGGCGTTCTTAACAGTTTTTAAAAAAATTATCACATAGTCATTTCATGCAAGAGATACTACACTACAGGGGTGGTTTGGATTGAGTCTGACTATATTCTTTTCAACTAAATACATGTTATTTTACAACTTCCATATTTTGTCTAAACTTGGACATTTAACTAGGCATTCATTGCTCACATCTCTCCATGAAGATGCCTATGTCTGAGTTTTTTAAAGATGTGTTTTATTGTCTCTTCATTCCTCATATGGATACTGTTTTGTATTTATATTTTATTCTGTACGTGAAGTATACACATAGTTAAATTCTTTTTTAATTTAAAATGGCATTTTACACTTCCACTGAGCTAAAGACCATCTCTATATATAGTGAGTTTTTTAATTCTTTAAAACACATGCAAAGTGTTTGCTATCACTGGTACCTCTCAGCTCACACTTCAGGGTTTCCGTACAGGGAAGTTCTATCTTGTGCAATGTTTCTAGTTAATTTCCTTTCTGAGCCATTTATCTTTTAAACTTTAGACAAGTACACTAATTCTGATTTGAACTTTACTTTAAAAATTAGAACCTTCATGTGAAACATTCATTGTTATTTTATTTATTACATCATATGTTGTATAATATTCAGTGTAATGTTAATAAGCTATGAGAAATGGTGTTGGTTTTATTAGCCATTTGTTATAAATGCCAATAAGATGTTCTCCAGGGCTAAGAATATACATTATCTTTTTAGAAAACCAAGTGTACCTTATAAGCAAATATAACTACTTACTGGGCATATATGATTTAAAGGACATTTTCATCTGTGTTATTCCTTTTGTGTTAGAAGATTCAGACTTCAATTTGGTCTTTTTTCAAACTGTTTATGTGAAGATGCTGTGCCCACTTGAACAGTCCTCAGGTGTTTGTATAAGCACTATGTTTTACAGTTTTTAAATATAATAAAGTTTAATAAAGCTGTTAATGTCAAAGCCTCAGATTTGATTTTACTTGCTTAAAGAGTTAAAGCCAGCAGTGATGCATGTCATGAATCATTATGCTTTGTGACAGCCTCACTAGAGAATTCTCTTTCCATCCTGAATATCAAGGCAAAAGTATGGCTAACACAATAACTTTCATAAATACAGACTTTCTAGTTCAAATTTCATATCCATTGAAACAAATTTTTCTCTCTAAAATTACTCTCATCTTCATGAAACATAGTCAAATCAAGACTAAATTTGTAAACGGAATGGTCAGCTCATCAGTTGACCACATAGGCTCCTCCAAAGTGGTTGTGGTGGAAATCCTCAGGATTCATCTCAGAACAAATTCCCAAAAGGCCTCTCAAGGCCAGGAAAGACATACCAAAGGTTTGCCATCAGGCTGCGCTTAAGTGGATTTCACTCTTCTACAGAATCCCTAAAACGTGATTCCTGCACATGCCAGCAGGAATCCCATTCACCTGCTACAGCTGCTCAGCACCCACGAGTTTCCAATGTCTGGAGGGACCAGGCAGAAAATGTTTCAATCCTACCCACAGGTGTAGTTTACCAAAGTGCTTTAAGTAACAAATAATTTGAGGGGAAGGGCGTCCCTATATCTGGGAAACAGATCAAAACCAGTAATATTATAGGCAAAAACCATAAAAATTATGACCATATTCACCACTTCACACAGTAACTATTTGTTAACTTTTTATGAAGGCTCAAGTTTTCCATTAGAATTTTTTACTATCTTACCCAGTTCAGCTGTATGATCTGAAACTTATCAGAGACCTGCATTTGTCAAAAAGGTCTTCCTATATATCATCTTGAAGCATTTTTGCAAAAGCATCAGAGTAAAATAACTGCCTATAAATAACAAAAGACACCTGATTATAATGTAATCGCTAAAGAAACTTGGTTATGATAACTAGAATTATAACCAATGATAATCTTAACCCTTGAAACGTTAATCACTGGCGAAAATCAAGAAGCAAGTAACTGTGAACTGTTCATCATACCAACATTTACTGATTTGGAAAACTTATGGTCTCATCTTCCTCCAAGAAAGGAAAGGTACGTAAACTTAGACCCACCCAGCAATTAATGTTCCACTACTTTATCCTATTTGAAATGATGCAGGTAATGAATAAATTCTCTTCATTTACCTTGGTTTAGTATCAAGTTGCCAAAATCTGGAAAGACTATTTTTTAATTATTTATTTTAATTGGAGGATAATTACAATATTGTGATGGTTTTTGCCATACATCAGCATGAATCAGCCATGGGTATACATGTGTCCCCCCATTCTGAACCATATATATGCGAGCTCAAATGGTAAAGAATCTGCCTGCAATGCGGTAGACCTGGGTTTGATCCCTGGGTTGGGAAGATCCCCTGGAGAAGGGCATGGCAACCCACTCCAGTATTCCTGCCTGGAGAATTCCATGGACAGAGGAGCCCGGTGGGCTATAGTCCATGGAATTGCAGAGGTGGACATAACTGAGTGACTAACATACATGCAGTATTTGTTGGAAAGACTCTTTTAGATAGACATTCCTCATAGCTTACAGTGAACGATGTCAGATTCATGATCTCCAAAGAAAAAGATTTAGCTTCGGGACCAGGGACCAAGCTTGATCACTCAAGAGCTTTTGTATAGCAGAGTTTTATTAAAGTATAAAAGGGACAGAGAAAGCTTTTGACATGGACATCAGAAGAGATAGGAGAGTGCCCCCACTCGCTAGTCTTCTCAAGGCCTTATATACTTTTACCAGACCCACTCCTACAACATACATCTTAAATTAACAAGATTAGAACTAACTAAAGAAAAGTCTTACCAGACCCACTCCCACATAAGATTAGTCACAAGGTTCCTATTAAGAAGGAAAAATATGTCCTTGAGCAAGATACATTGTTATATAATCATTAGTACAGAGTTTAAAGAAAAACATCGAGCAAGATGAGTTGTTTTCTGTGTAATCATTAGCTCTGGGCTTAAAGAAAGTTAGTCTTCAAGATTCTTGTCATAACAACTCAGAGTTTAAGAAAAAGTTTGTCCTTTTTCTCCTCCTCAAGATTCCAGGATCCCTTTCTCCTGGAGGGCCCCAGACTCCTTATCAACCTACCTAAGAATTAACTCTCTCATTCCCAAAACATATTTACTACTATAGCATTTACCTAAAAATTTTATCTCACTTATGTTTACTTAAACTTTCATCATATTGTTATTTTCCTTGCTGAAAATTTTTCAACAGATGTAATAAGGTGTTATTTGCTCTCTAGTAAACTTAAGTACAACAGAAGTGTTCGCACTGATGGGCTTCCCTGTTGGCTCAGTGGTAAAGAATTCACCTGCCAATGCAGGAGACATGGGTTCGATCCCTGGTCTGGGAAGATTTCACATGCCATGAAGCAGCTAAGCCCATGGACCACATCTATTGAACCAGTGCTCTGGAGCCTGTGAGCTGAAATTTCTGAGCCCACATACTGCAGCTACTGAAGCCCAAACATTCTAGAGCCTGTGCTCTGCAACAAGAGAAGCCACAGCAATAAGAAGTTCGTTTGCCACAGCCAGAGAAAAGCTTGTGCATCAACAAAAACCCAGCACAGCCAAATAAAATTATTTTTGAAAAAGTATACCACTGATGACTCTAAAGACATGTCTATATTAATTAAACTAACAAGCTTAAGCTAGCTAGCTTCAATACTAGATATTCAGTAAGTACTGAGTATTTCTCAGGCCACATGAACTTGAAATTTATTCAAGCCAGCCTTTTATATTTCTGAGAATTTACACAAAAGTTAAATTTCTTTTATACCAATTAAACATTTCTTTTAAACCAATTCATCCATGAACCCATCTTGGCAATGCCATTTGGAGGCAGAGACACTTTAAAAGGTACGCATACACATACATTTATCTATATAGAGAAAGAGATCTCAGTTTTCCTGCTAAAATGTAAAAAGACCTTTTTGAGTGAAATGATGCCACCTGCAGCAATATGGATGGACCTAGTGATCATCATACTAGGTGAAATAAGTCACAGAAAGACAAATATCATATGATATCACTTTTAAGTGGAATCCATAAAAATGATACAAGTGAACTTATTTATAAAACAAAGAGACTCTCAGACATAGAAAACAAATTTATAGTAACCAAAGGTGAAAGGGAAGGTGGGATATATTAGGAGTTTGGGATAAAGTAGATGAACAACAAGGTCCTACTTCATAGCACAAGGAACTATATTCAATATCTTGTAAATAAACTAATGAAAAAGAACCTGAAAAAGAATAGATTTATGTATACCTCAATCAGTTTGCTATACACCTGAAACTAATACATTGTAAATCAACTATACATCAATTAAAACAATAAAAGATAAAAATAATTCTTAAAAGTCCTCTTTTTTTCTCTTCACTCTGGGATCACAGATGATTACAGTTCCAGAGAGCCCAGGTAGATCACATGTATTGCAAAGTCACAGGAAGAGAAACACCAATTCCTTCTAGAAAGCTAACTTCCTCTGAGAGCATATGGAAAAACCAGTTTTAGAATGTCAAAAGAATCCCATCTTGGAAACTTTCAGGATTTTTTTCTTTTCAGTTTCTAAAAGCCAATTCAGTATAAGCAAATAACAGTAATATACGATAATATATATCACTCACTCACATGCATGTGCCTTACTTTCAGAGGAACAAGAATCAGCATTCAGGTTAACCTTCACCTCAGCTATTAGCTCAGCCTCCATGGCCTCTCTCAATATAAAGCTGTGGGCACCTGCCAGTCCACAGCTGTGGCTACTTCGTTTTCCCACCATAGTGATGCCAATATCTCCGCTGTGGCCTTGGGGTGTCTATGAGTCCTCAGTACTCTCTTGGCCTTGCATTCATCAAGGACAGCCGCCCCAGGGCCCCACTTCTAGTGGATGGCCACCCCAGGATTTCCCCTGCAACTATCAGGCAGATTGCAGGCAGATTCTTTACCATCTGGAACTTTCAGGCCCCACAAGCTAGTGACATCCCGTAACTTTCAGAATCACCCCTGAAATTTTCAGTCCCCACAAGCTAGGTGACGCCTGGCAACTTTCCGTTCCCCCATCCTTATTTGCCAACATCTCGGCACTCATGGGCATTTGCTTGGTCTCCTGGAGGCTCTGCCAATTGGGCTGTACCCCACAGGCCTACAAGGCCTGCACTTGCCCAGCTTCAAGACCAAAGAAAAGGCCCGGAGTTGGTGATGGAGACATGGTTTAATGGCTGGGGGAGCCTACCTGTCTGAAGCAAGGTCCTGGAGCAACAACCTGCATGTGCAGTGACAGACAGTAGGCAGAACATGGCAGCAGGCTATGGAGAGAGGGAGGGTCTGGGTTACAGCCGAAACTGACATCAGGTTGGCTCATCAGTTACCATGGAAACCAGCTGAGGGGCATGTCCCTCACCTCCCCTTTGATAAGCTATCAGGTGGAGATGTTTGACCTAAAGATCAGATGAAGCAGGCACTGTCCAAGCAAGGGATGTACAGAGAGCAAGACAACAGCCATTTTGGGTGGCCTGACCATACAGATTCTTAGCCATGAGAAAGCCATGCCCTTCTGTAATAATATTCGAAATTAAACATCACGACTAGGAACAGTGATTATGAGAGGAAAAGCGCTGCATTTTCAAACTACATAAGGAACTGTAGTCACAGTTGGCTGAGTAAATGAAGTAGTTTTAAGTTTCTGGGGCGGTTTTTACAGTGTGATGCTGGGACTTGCTTATATTTATAAGCCCTCAAAGGTTGAGGATTCCTGATGTTTTCCCTGTTTTGTCCAACAGCTTGGTGAACTTGAATCCTGAAAGCAACTCTCCGCAATGAGGACATCCTCAGGCCAAGCTCGCCCACTCTCCCTGGTGTGCTTAGAGGTGACTCGGGCGTTACGGGGCCACCTTCTCTGGCTTTAGGGGTGCTGTCAGCACTGAGGGGAGAGCCTTCAGATATAAGGGGGAAATAAAATGGAATCCTTTT